TACCTTGGTGTAGTTTTACTTGACTCCGATTACATAATGCATGTACATATACATGCAGTGGATCTCAGGATGTTTTTCGCACATTAACAAAAAAATTACGCACGCGTCTTCCTGCATCCACGGGCGTGTCTTGACGCACATAACGTGTTATATGCCGTTTACGGGCTCACGTAGTAGGTACATTTTTGTTTTACTCCCTTTTCTTAAGGACACTCGCGTCCTCGCTAGAAGAAGGTTTACGTGCGTTGTAGGCCGGATCACGGTATCTCCGCAAGGAATCATTAGTATACTCGGGACGGTCGCATAACTAAGTAGATACAGTGGCAGTGGTATTGCAGCCAACATGACGTCTTATACGTCCTAGCTATCTTACGCAGCACTTACCGAACACGGGAGATAATAACACAGGGAAGAAACTAGTTGCTGCCCTTCCCGATATCCCCCGGTTCTTCATATGTAATAGGAATTCCACGTGAAAAGTAGTTAGTGCAAGCAGACACGTATGGAATGTCAGCAAAACACTCACGCATTCTGGAATCGACCGACTGGCCGACCATTTAACGAATCTCTGTTTGTTTTCCGAACTTTTGAGTTTACAGGTAGATTTTATAGAAAATGACTATTTTTGTTGTATCCTGTTAGCTGGGACGGAGATACGATATTAGGTATGGATATGTTGGCAGTATGTTTTTTTTTTCTTTGTTATTTATCATTTATTATTTTTCTGGGGTATAGTCCTTCCAAGAAGGATCTATCTTGATCGGGATCGATAAATGCTTGCCATGGATGATCTACTATTTTATATGTGAACTAGTAGAGAGAAACGTCGAGCGTGAATCATTTGGTACAAAATCGTGAATGGTTCCTAGTTTATAGTAGTTTAACTGCCCGTTGCATATTTTAAATTCCGCTGACGTTTGCATCGGACAGTTCGTACGAGTGTTGGCAAAAAGTATGGTGGTTTCGAAGCGAATAGCAGGGCCAGCCTGGTCGGGTCACAGTTTTGTACTTTTTTGCAGGGAGGACTCAGCGACGATGCTTGCTGAGCCCCGGTATGCAGCTCAGAGAACTGCCAGACTCTCATGCGACAGGACAGCTTTTGACCCTTCAACATTTTGAAGCACCTTTTAATACGTTTTTTACTCCTGAAAATATGTGATTTTTGCAATTTGGTAATATATAGTTTTTCAATGGCTAGAAAAAAAAAAAGTATCAGCGTGGGGTTTAAGGTTTTTTTTTAAGTTTTTTAGTATCTCTTTGAGATTCTTGTATGATTAGACGGAACGAATGAGGAATTCTTCCAGGAGAAATTCTCTGGGAACTGATGTCTAGTACAATGTTATCATCGTAGCAGTTTGTACGATTAAATAGTTTATAAATTCGATACTGTAGTGGTAGTCGTAGATGAACAAAATAATTGATTAAATTTTATTTATTTTCTAGAAAGGATTAACCGTCTGTTATTATGTAACGATGGATAACAAATTTGACTACAGATTTTCAATAATATTTCGTTTCCAGCATATATACATATCTGTGGAACTTTGCGTCACCCTCCATCGCATGTAGCTAATATTTCCTAGGATTCGACTGTCTGGAATATTTTATTTAATATAAACGAAAACGCGTTCCGAATACTGAGCATGCCAGCGACGTCGCAGCATCCGCGCCATTGTGTTCTCATGCCTTTACTGTCCGTTGCTATAGTTAAACTGGATGCATCTGGACATCGGTGCTCAACTTGCATCACTTTAACATTAATTTCCTCGATCTCTGACATTTCCAGTAAAAAAAAAAAAATGATTTTCCAAGACAAAAATTATTTTATTCGTGTATTTCTAAATATGCATCAATATTCCTATCGGTATTACGATGCAAGTGCGAACCACGTGTTGATACCCTAAAACTCACCGATAAAACTCGTTCTCTCAAATGAAAAGAGCAAATGGTTACCCAGCGATTAAGCAACGTTTCAAGACCGGCCGACCAACTGACCAGCTGAATGAACTCGTAGTAAAAGTCTATCCTGATCGCAACGAGGTTGTAACCTTGACAGTGTTCAAGAATCACGTTTTCGGAGCATATACACAACTGTGGCTACCAACGATGCTGCGACCTTGTTTAAAAGCAGAGGCCATTTACATTTCCTCGGACGACAATCCATCACCCTGGTTCCGGAGAACCTCTGTCCCGTTTCAGGTGGACGTATGGGTCTATATATTTACTCTATCGAAGGTGGCATGTGTGCGTCGCGCCGAGGACACTGTCGCCACTGGCAAAAACACTATTGAGTTAATCAACTAATTTATAATTAAAATTCCTGGATACGAGCGGCGAGTTTCTCGTCTCAGGTCGAAGGAGCAAGAAGCGAACGAGTCGCCGTCTGGGATCATCATTGTTTCCCAGTAACTGCTACCAAATTCATAGAACAGCAATTAACCTCTGATCGGCGCCTTCCACGGGCGCCGTTCGGCGCCTCCGAGAAGGTTGTCTGACCTAGTTTTAGTTTCCGGAATATTATATCGATATTATGTTCCTGAGACGAAGACTCAGACCCGGAAGATTTTCCAACAAGTTCCTGGATCCAATGTAAAATTTCCTAGCGGCTACGTACTTCCTTTCTAGGGTGGGTAATGAAGCAGCAATATCTGGATGCCACTTACTGAGACTTGTCATGCTCGACTAGACGCGGACTCCGGATCGCATTAATTACGCGTATTAGAGTTCCTCAACGGCGATGCCACCCACGTGGACAGACCTTTTTTTTTCTTTCTTTTCTCTGTCTCTGGCTTTGCTCACGTGTCTCTGGCTAACTAACTTGCCTAACGTCGTGGAAGTTCGTTACCTTGAATCTACAAAACGGCCGAGTACGGCGTAGCCGTTCACGGAATATCGTCGTGTGGTTGAATGATCGTCTTTGAGCACCGGGAGAAGAGGCGTCGGACCTCGAACGGGCATAACGAGTTTTTATTGTTGAAAATTTGTTAAGGGGAATGTAAAGAAATAAGTAGTGATTCTCGAGCCGTGAGCGAGCGCCAAGAGCCGCTTGATTGACTCCTGGGAATTGGAGGCTTCAAAGCCACAGAATAGTCAGGCCTTCTAGTTTAGCCACCCTTTAAAAACACATTCGATTTCCTTTAGGCCTCTTTTTGTACTCATAATATTGAAATATCGCAAGTTAGGAATTTTATTCGTATGAAAGGTATGCTTACACTATTTTGCGTACCAGTTGATATGCAATTGATCTAATATTGTAGGGAAATTATTCTAAGCAATTTAAACGCACCGTCTTTTTTTTCAATGGCGGCGGCGACGCCCCTTGTCATGTCCGGTGCGATGACCGAGTGAGATGTTAAGTGCGCTTTGTCCATTTTCAGCAGACGTCCGGTAAGGGAAGAGTCCAGTCCCACAAATCCCCATTAGGATCCTGTGCCCCCGTATGTACAATGAATACCTATGGGCATCATCGGGCCCAAATCCCTGGTGTTACTCACCGACAAAGTTTTTCTATCCGCCACGTTATGGCAACGATTCCGGCGGATTCCACACTCCGCCATTGTCACCGTCTCGAAAGCCGCGACGAGATTAATTAGGGACGATGTTTTACCGGCAAAAATCGCGACAAGAAACCAGGAGCGCGGTGCCGCCTGAAGTCGCTAACTAACCCACTCCAAATCAAGGGGCCCCGTCACCTCGTCGCAAGAACGTGCTACAAATTAAACCAGATCGGCGAAACCATCTGAAAAATGTCACCGCTCTGCCTCGTTAAGCGGTGCTCATTTCCGAACTCTCTTCTGTCCGTTCGGATTCGCCTTTGATTTTCGTTCCATTCAAGTTCTAAATGAGGCGATCGTTATCATTGATTAATCACCGATCCCGATAAAAATGCATCTTTACCCTAACAAAGAAAATACACGCCACTGCTTACGGCGATTCGCACGAAAGTACAATTTTTCCTTGAATCTCAAGACAAAGTGTATTTTAACGTAATTGTAGGTAATTCTATTTTTTTTTATTTTCCGCTGCAATTCCGCGTTCACGTTGCTAATGGTTACCCCGACTTAGATATCTAACTGCTACTGCTCAGCGCACAACTCGAGCAACTCCTGAAGAAGGATTGTGGCGTGCGAAAAATCGTCAAGCTCTACCTACATACCTGATTATCGGTGACGTCGAGGCAGTCGCACCTAGGAATAATAAATACTGATAGACGAATAGAGATATCGTGGAAACCCCATGTCCTGCCCACGCAGAGATTATCTTGAGAAATTATGAGTGACCACTTTAGCTTCCAGGTTATGTAAAGGCGCTTGTTGTCGATCAACGCGAGGAATAGTGTCTCAATGCTGCTTGTGTCTATCGTTTTCTTCTCTTTCTCGAATCTCTGTCGGTTGTGACTTTTACATTTATAACCATTTTCGCCTTTCATCCACTCCGGACCCATTTTTCTTCACTCGCGCAAACGTCGAGTTTCACAGATCTTGAACACCCGTCACGCCGATACCGGAAGTCTGTAACGACTCATGACGTAATTATAATCAAGATTACGGGACCGAGATTCCAAGTAAACATGGTCATACATACACGTACATGTACTATAAAGACTCTTCGAGAAACTTCACTTTCATTTTCTCATCCGGCAACAAAATAAAATATTATACCACACCAAGGTACCTACTCTCAATTTCTTGTACTATCCTATAGAAACGTCCAGGTTCTTTTAATCTCTGATAGCAATTAAAGAAATTTAAAATAAAAAACAAATAAAACTGATACACTATTCAACAGGTACCGACGACTGGTACGTGTTTATTAGGTTATTGCTCCTAGTACAAAGCTCCACAGTTACTACCATATTTCATGCATCGAGATTCCCCAAGCGGTACTACCATATTGACGTTGATACAGCAATGAAATTATCGCGATGATCGTTTAATTAACCGATTAGCGTGATTTCCTTAATGTGTGACTAACGTAGCGTCCCTTTTTTTTTGTTTCAGACGCCATGGGTAAGTGGACGGGATCGCTCTACCGTAAGACGACCACGAACCTGGGACTTCTTGCCGCGCGGAAATTCTCCGCGCGTTTCTTGCGCGCGCGCGCGAGAAGTCATTAATCGTAATTAATGAACTAATCTTCAGGTTAACTTCCTCGCTCTGCAGTGTGTTCTGCTCGTATAACAGTCTTACGAGACAGTAAAATACATGCGTATAGAGGCGAACGAGTGACGGAAACGCACGCGCACTGCCGCGCACTCCATACGAACGCCTCCTTCTTAATGACTCGCGTTCCTTAAGAACGAGTTTTCGCGAGGAAATTGCGATGATTTAATCATTGCACATGTTGGAAGCGAACGCGCACCTATCGGGAGGACGGCTGAATGGTACGTTAACGGTGTTGCAGTACCGGCGAACCGCTGCGGAATTGCCGCTGGTAATCACGTGGCAGTTATACCGATCTGTTGCTACTTGCAACGGCTCCTTACGCACTTCTTCCATTGGTTCGTTCCGATGAACGCAATGCCATAATAAGTGAACGTGCCGGGCGTCTTTAATTAATTTAATTAGATTGTACCTAGCGCAGGGATACGAGATGTCGAATGAGACGAGCACGTTGGTAAAACCTGGAATTAATCTATGGCTAGTATATATCTCTGTGTTGTATCTATATATCTATACGATATAGTTTTTTACGGGGATATAATTAAAATTTGTCGGAATTAACGTTTCGAAATATATACTTGTCTTGCTCAATATCTTTTTTCGGGTATTAACTATAGACGTTAGACGTGTGCACAGCTTTCGGTACGACTATTTGTTTCATTGTAATTAACCAGTAGGCTCTTGGTAATGCTTTACGGTAACGAAGTAGCCACCCGGTTCTTCGTAGCTCTTCTGCACCTTTCTGGTTTCTCCACTCCAAGTATGTCTCAGGTAGATATAGCCAGGTCCTAATGAAACTTCGAAGAAACAGCAGGGTTCCAGTGGGTTCTCGAGCGCGAACGATCGCGCCGGTATACTCATCAGCGCAATCGTTAAAGTTGCCGTAATTAATACGTAAATGGTAAAAGTCTTGTTCGAGGGAGATTCTTGGGTAGGTATATAATAGGTACGTTATGCCTGGTACGTGAGGTCGGTTGGGAGAAAGTCACCTGGTTGTGGAATTCAACGTGGAAAAGGTTAAGAGTCAGAAGTGACAAGTGTGATGGGAAATGATAGTGACGGCATCGCGTAAGTGGCAATGATGGCGATGATGATGATGACTGTGGATATACACAGGTGACAGGCAAGTTTATTTCTGGGAGACATTACGCGTTTTGTGAATGGCTCTTGTATAGAGATAGTGAAGAAGATAGGGTACCATCGTCTTCGTATATTCCGAGTCTCTCGACTTTGACCGGTGGGAGCAAAAAAAATGACTCGCTGACTTTTTGCTCGTTAATTAGTTGCATTTTTTATGATCCCGTCTGGCACGCTACACATTCAGAAGTGGTTGGGATATGTGCTTGGTAAGGTTAACGGTTAAAACCTTTAACTTACACAGGATCGCACATATAATGTCCTGCATTGTGTCTACTGCCCGGATGCTTCACTGACTGACTGACTGACTGACTGACTTATACAGGAACCGACGGATGGACGGACGAATGAACGGACATGTGGTCGGACACAAACGCTCGCCATGTGGCGTCGGGTGTTTTCAATGTAATTACCGTTCACGGCTATTTATTAATATGCGCACTGGAACGAGCATCTTAGATCAATGGACACCCGGCTCCATTGTTGGAATCGTATAGTCACACTTGTGGCGCAATATGTATGGACATTGAGGAACGATTATTTATGCAGGTTAAATAATTGGTCGTAAAGGGATATTTTAATAGGACCGGGACTGCTGTGTCCAGGTGAGTATTTTGCGGGAACGATACTTTAATTTTTTTCTGCGAGATAGATTATTCTAGAGATGTTTCATGTTCCCCATAGGGGAGGGGAGTGCATCCACGGGTCTGCAAAGGGAATAAGTGCGAGAGAGAGAAGAGAGGGTAGGGGATACAGAGACGGAACAAGATGATCCGTGATGTTCTTACTTTTTGGAAAGGGTCTTGGAAACGATAAGATAAACATCCTTAGGTTTATATACCGTTTCGAAGACCGGGATGCATTCGGTGTTCGAACTTTTACGACGGCGCACATGTCCGATGCACTTCAACACCTCGGTTCAGTCGAGTGCAGCCTCCACCGTGGACCAGAGCCTGGTCCCGTGCTCTGCATAATGACGTGTTTGTCGGATCGTGCAATAATTAGAATGCAAATCCTCTCCCTTGCCCTCTCCCTCGTCGGCTGCCTCCCACTGGCATCAACATCGGCAGCATCTCCCGGCACTTCAATGGCCGGGCTGGTCTTTAATGCGTTTTCGGTCCTGGAAGTAGTAAAGCGACGCCTTTTATAGCTCGTTATTCCGCGAACCGATGAGAATGAGAAGCGAGCGCTACCATCGAGCCATATCTTTTACTTTAATACGTAGCGCTTACCATTATCCACCGATACACGCGGCCATTATCTTCCGTTTTATCTGTCGAACATTGGAGATCATGCAATTCCTCAATCATCGTTCTGGAAATCATCGTTTTGGGAATAAAAGAATTTATAAATTTATAGGGTGTCTAGCGCGGGTAGTTATAGACGGGAGGTTCGTTTTAAAATTTTCATCCTGGCGACGATCTCTCTTGTACGCCGGGGACGTCTCTGAGGGCGGGTGAGAATGTATCAAGAGTTGGGACGTCGCGTTCCCAAAACGTTAGTCTGAGCTACCCCTGGCACGGGACGCGGTTGAAGTTGCCGTTGTGGTCGCTCAACAAATAGATTACGTGCCGGGAGGGTTTCTGAGGGTTGGTACTGGGCTCTTTGCGTCCCTTTCTCTTTCGGTATAACTCGAAATCACACATGCCACTCACGTACTCATTCCTCCGATCCAACCCCCCTCATCCCCTATTCGCGGCGCCACGCGATGCCTCCGACGGCTTCATCCAAAAATTGCATCGCGTTAGCCCCAAATCCACTAACCATTCCATTATTAAATCTACGTCTGTATTAGCGAACTCTCCCTTGGGGGTCTGGCGCCATTAAAATTCGCCTCCAGCAACATCCATCAGAACCCTCCGCATGGATATAGATACACGTTAAATCGCGCAATCTTGAGTATTGTCTCTCGTCCAATCCTCGGTTAGCATTTAAACGTCCGGTCATCATTTTAATGTCAGACGCGAACAGCATCCATTTTCTAATCTCAGTTGAATCTGCTTCTCGTACTTTCATTCTCTTTCACTTATCTTATACACCTAATTCAACTAAAGTACAGACCCCTGCGTGGGACACCATGCCGGCTGCTTTAATTATACGGGAATAAGTAAGTGGTTTTTAAGGGGCGCGAGGAAAGGGGTAGGCCATTTATATTCGAGGGGAGACTATTTCGATCTGCATGCTTCATCGGGCGCGGACTCTTGCCAGAAATCTGGTTGCCATCGCGACTTACTTTCTCGACGATGACCTGGCTGGTGTCAGTTTAGCGTCGCGACGCTCGTAAACGCCCATGCACACGGTTTCGTACGTCGAAACGACATCCGGTGTCCTTATTTCAATTTTTCTTAATCTCTCGCTCTCTCTCCCTCTCTTTCACTCTTTTTCTCATCTTCGCCTCATTTTCTATCGCGGATAATAACACGGTGGACGGTATAACGTAAGGAGCGACCAGACCGTGACGGACGAGTGACTAAATCGTCGCTAAAATGCGATTGCTCGATTCCTTTCTTGCGTCGTTTCCAATGTAAAAAGTTAACGCTGTGATCTTCACCGCGCGGGGACTTTAAGTTGTTTATCTACTTATTATGTCAGTCGGGGCTAATTGGGCATATTTGAGATCAGTCCGTAGTGGATGCTCGCACGTAGCTTATAAAGGAGAGTCCTCAACTCTCTGTCTACATTGCTATAACGCTACTGCGCTACTATACTACTATATGCTCGTATAGTAGTGCGACCACAGCGTTATAGTATATGGCATTCGAGAGAGGATAATATCCACTCCGAAGGTTAGCCGCTCTCCGCAAGAAGAGTCGCATAACTTTCGACGATCATGACTCCGGCCGCCATCCGTCTTTAGGGAACTATCGCGCCATCGAGAATCCTTCTCCTCTGTTCTTCCTGCCGCCACCAAAAGATCCATCGCTTCATTCCGCTTTGCAAAGATATTTCTTAATGTTGGTGTATACCTATTGCTGCGCAGCCATAGTGGAAAACTTTTAGTCCCTTCCGCGTGCGAACCTTCTGGCGCAGGACAATTGCTAACGAGAATTAAAGTGAAACAACCTGTATATAGAGTACGAGGGGAGGCCACTGGGCCCCCTCTGTAGTTTATTAATATGATTTATGGGGAGGTGAAATACTCTCTTGGTCGTATCCACCTTGCGCTCTTAACCCTCCTCCGTCGTTCGTTTATATTGTATTGATTTTTGTTATGCCCACGTACACCTGACTTCTTCAAGTATACATATGGGGTATATATTTGATATACACTTTATACAGGTGTGCCAACTATCGTTATAGGTACCACCTATGAGGTACCTGAGCTTTGCCTTGGATATGTTTAGGGTCAGCTCATATTCCAGTATGAGTCGGTGCCGCGACCTGTAGGGTGCTTTGATAGTTCATAAAATGAAACGGATTTTGATTCGGTTCCTTTGAAATTCGCAACCCCGTCTTGCCGGGTCGGGAGACTCGGGGCATATGGAAGGAACAGCAGGAACTTTCGAATGACCGTACTTACGTATACGACGATGCACGTGTGGGTTTAACGTTACGACTATAGTCAATTAAAAATTTAATCGCAATTAAGATACCGCAAATTTCCTTAAGAGTCGCTGGCATCTGGACAGGATCAGCGAGGATTCTACAAGAAGCGACCAATCCGTTTATCTCTACTCGTCGTTCGAGTCGGCGTCGATTAGCGTCCGCTT